TATGCACGAATCTGTTTCGACGCATTCGGTGATAAGGTTGACGAAAGTCACTCGTTTAGCCTTCTCATGCCCAAACAACGATCCATGCTTTCATATTTGATTCCATCCCATTTCATCTCGTACAATTTCTGTAACTAACTGAAAAAACACTGTCGATTACAATTGAAGTGAATGCTCATCTAGCATTCAGTTCAATAATCCATGTTGTGAGCGAGAGTGATGATGATCGCCAAGTTAAGGTGAAATATTTCGTCACTATCAACGAGCCATGGGTACAAACCAAGTTCGGTTACACTGCCAGTTTGCACGCTCCAGGAGGATTCACTGAGCACTGCGAGTGGACATCTTATTTGGCCGCATATCACATGCTGCTTGCTCATGCGACCGCCTATCACATCTACGATCGAGAATTCAGGACGAAGCAACGGGGTTTCGTTGCAACCACTTTTGAGATTTCTTTCAGTGTTCTTGTATAATGTAAGCTGAAGCACTGATCATTCACTAGATCATGTTTATGAATTGTGAATTTCATGTAAATATGATGTTTATATGAGGGGTTGCCAGGTCTCGGAAAGGCGATTATATAGTCTCATTGCGTGAAATTGTGTGAAGAGCAATGTTAAATTCAGGTCAAATCGGTATCACAAATGTTGGATTTTGGTTTGAACCAGAAAGTGCAGAAGACGAGGACGCGGCTCGTCGAGGTTTGGAATGGAATTTCGATTGGTTCACTCATCCGATCTTCCATGAAGACGGTAATTATCCGAAGACAATGATCGAAAGAATCGCCGAAATTTCACGCCAAGAGAACCGCATCGTTTCCCGTCTGCCATCGTTCACAGCCCAGCAAATTAACTTCATAAGGGGTAATATCGTAGATTCTGAATTCATTTGAACTCAACACTAATTCGGAAATTCGCTCAGAGTCAGTGTCGTTGAAATTCATTGTTTTGGATCATTTGAATGCATCTCAATGATGCTATGGAGAGAAAAGATCTCATTTAGTCACATTCATTGATGAAGAAATATGGAAGAGAGCAACAGATCGATCAGACAACAAATAGATCAGAAAAACCATAGTGATTGTGTTCAGATCGCTCAAATCTCA